GAGCATCCACCAGCTCGAACCGCTTCATCAAGTTATGGACCCTATCCGGTCGACCTATCAAAGCATGGGCGCTTGTGGCCCAGCGTAACTCAGTCCGCAGGCAACGCATTAGTAGCTTGGGCGATGACATCACTACTAAATACAAATTACGACGCGGCTCGAGCACAAATTACAAAGATAACAAATAAAAAATACAACAAAAAATTAACAGTTAATAAATGCAGTTCCTATCAAATCGAGTTGAATAGAAATTACACAAATACGAATTACTACTTATCAAACCAAATACAAGCTAGCACAAAGGAGAAGACACAAATCAAATTAACAAAAAACAAATACTAGTGCGATCAAATCAAGTTAAATTCAAATTGCGCAAATACAAATTACTGTTCTTTAGTTCAAATACAAATTACAATACAAATAAGATACACATCAAGGTCGATCAACAAAAATGCCTAGCTCGGAAATCGACCCTTCGATAAGTAATCCACTACAACTATCCGACAACGATAATTAACCGATTACGTGATAATAACCATCAACCTACATGACGTAAACCTTTAGAAAAACTCCCGCTTGCGCAACCTAGGGCGCGGCTTTTCAATCTAACCCACTAACCAAAAACAGGCAAGCAACAAAGCAACAAAGGAAAATAATTTATTATTACGTAAAAAAAATATTTTTACGTATTACGGACGGGCGTGATTGTAGACACAAAATTAACCCAATCAAACCAACGCTCCGTGCCACCAGAATTGCTTAATTTTTATCAAACACTATGGTAGGGATCGAACGGGGAATCGAACCCGGAACCGCGCTCTGCTACCAGTTTGTTACGGCCTACAGCTGCCCCCATAAAGATCAAATCCTCAGGGGCCCATTCAGCTGAGTTTCGACGAGCAGACGTAGATCCGGCCTCCTAAGGCCAAAGTGAAAAATCTCTAGTTACACTAAACAATAAAGGGGGAGCGTTCCATACTACGGCCATTCCACAGGGAGAATATTAGACGGAGCTTACTTACCTATATCCAAGGCGACTGCTCCCTCAGGATTCGGTCAGGTCGCATGTGGTTCTGTAGTGCAAGGGAAATAAGGTGCTGTGATGTGTATCTAGGTGTGACTGATGGGGATTGACCTTAGTAGACCTTTGCAGTCGGCAGCAGCCCGGGCGGCAGCACCGCTCCAAATTGAGGTAATCTTACGCGGCGCCGTCCACAGTCACTTTCTTCGTTCGTCACGATGACAGTCCATTAACTCTATCGTACTATTAACTAACTTACATAAGCCACTAACTCTCGTTTGTTATAAAGCCTAACACACAAAATGAACAGGGAGTGTCCGGATCAAAGGTCACTACCGCTTCGCGTATCAACAGTTGTTTCTAGACTATAAAAGGCCGCTTTAAATAATATTGTCGAATGTACTTATACAGATTCTGAGTCCGACACAATGAGTCCCTGGGAAGCTCTCCAGCAAGGAATGCGCGTCACAAATCCTAGACAAAATATTTACTATCCGCGCCTAATTATTCCGAGTTCCCGAACAAAATTGACAGTGTGCTGAAGTTAGCACAGCTGGCAGACGACTGGCTTTCGCCTTTACGCGTTCTCAACACCCACCGCTCGACCGACGTCAAAACCGGTATGGCACCGAGCCGCGCGCCCTTTCGCTTTAGTTCCTGAAATTAGCGTTTGGCGCGAATAGTAGGGCTACGATGGCTATCCGAGTACAGAACCAGAGTACGAAAACTATCCAATTGCAGAGAGGTTAAGACAGGGTGACGTGATATCCCCGAAACTCTTCACCGCTGCATTGGAAGACGTTTTCAAGCTTCTGGACTGGAAAGGATACGGTATCAACATCCATGGCGAGTACATCACTCACCTTCGATTTGCCGACGATATAGTCCTTATGGCAGAATCGCTGGAGGACCTAAGCACTATGCTCAATGATCTCAAAAGTGTTTACAACGGGTCAAAGGTCTTAAGATGAACATGGACAAAACAAAGATCATGTTTAATGTCCATGTCACACCTATGCCGGTAGTTGTTGGGAGCACTAAGCTCGAAGTTGTTGACGAGTATGTTTACCTGGGACAAATAGTCCGACTAGGTAAGTCCAACTTCGACCGAGAGGTCAATCGACGGATTCAACTCGGTTGGGCAGCGTTCGGGAAATTACGGCACATCTTCTCGTCAGGTATACCTCAAAACTTGAAAACAAGGCTGTACAACCAGTGCGTGTTGCCAGTGATGACCTATGGTACTGAGACGTGGTCCTTCACTGCTGTCTGGATGAGGAAGCTCAAGGTCGCTCAGCGAGCTATGGAGAGGGCAATGCTCGGCGTTTCTCTGCGTGATAAACTTAGAAATGAGGATATCCGCAGTAGAACCATAGTGACCGACATAGCCCAACGGATTAGTAAGTTGAAGTGGCAATGGGCCGGCCCTATAGCTCGAAGAACCGACAACCGTTGGGGTAAAAAGGTTCTCGAGTGGCGGCCTCGTACCGGCGGACGAAGTGTAGGCCGTCCCCCCACTAGATGGAGTTACGACCTGGTAAGATATGCAGGAAGTCGATGGATGCAGGTGGCTCAGAACCGTGCTTTGTAGCATTCCTTGGGGGAGGCCTATGTTCAACAGTGGACTTGTGAAGAGCTGTAATGATGACGATGATGATGATTGTACACGCCCCTAGCTGCCCCGACAAAGGTCGACCATACAGGGGCCCATACAGCTGTAGATTCGACGGACAACTATGGGTGGGGCTCAAAATGCCTATGGAGACTTAACCTACACGATAGATATAAGGCTAAGTAAATATATAGTACGTACCTGGTTCCAAAGCTAAGACTGACCACAAGGCTCGGTCAGGCGGTATGTAGGTACATGTAAGTAGTGTAAAGTAGTATGTATAATCTTTGACCTGACTTAACCGTTGAAGTCAGACCGCAGATCCAGCGTTGCTTCTCTCCAAAGGTGGTAGTTCACTTTATCCGACCTCAAGTCTGACGTTACTTCACTATTTCAGTTTATTAACTTTATTGTACATTTAATTAACTTCAAACTAACTAAATCCCCGTTCATCGTAATCAAAAACGTAACAAACGGTGGATCAAAGTTCACTTCCGTTTCACGTTTTTTTTTTTATAGGATCAGCTGACAAACGAGCACACAGTCCACCTGATGGTAAGTGGTTACTGTGACCCATAGACATCTACATCTATCCTCAATAAAGACTCAAGATACAGATGCGTTGTCACCCGTGAGGACGAAGATGGAATGCCTCTTTGCCAGTAAATAGGGTCTCCGGTTCTCTACACTCACCATACGAAACACGGCAGCGTTAAGCTGCCATTTTACGCTGGTTTTCTGTGAGAGCGTGGTCCTTCCCCGGTCGAGCTGACCCATTCGTGCTACAACCTTAATATAGCTGCAGCATGGCTCTACCACGTAGTAAAACGTAGTCACGTAGCAACAAGATAACCACGAACAAGAACGCGATCTCTTCTCGAGTCACAAAGTTCAGCGTTTACAACGACTGACTAAATTCCTTCGTACGATATTAAATACTACGCCCGCATTAAGACTCAAAATCAGCCTAGCTGACACGCAAACCAACTACATAGACAACACACAAAAGGCACTTAACGCGACGATACAAATAAACATTAACTTCAAAACAATTAATCGACTTGGCGTCTTTTTTTCTACACAACAAACTCCTTGTCGTTGCATAAATTTGCTAACAAAACCGACACTAATTAGAGGTTATACGGGACGAGACCACGCCGTTTTAGAGACCGCACTGCATAGACTTCCAACGCGCCCTGCTCGTCACCAACCGGATCTCACGCGGACGTCAACCCGTAGGACCGCTTCATCAATTCTTGAAATTAGCGTTTGGCGCGAACAATGATGATTACTTTACGTCGCATAATATGTTATGGCAAGCACATCATTAAGCTTGACGTTTTTTTTTAATTCAACAATATGCATTATTATAAAAGAAGTCCATGTGTAAAGAAAAACGTGATTTAATGATACTTACTCTTACGTCAGTCCAACTGGGGGCATATGTGTTAACATGATTACAAATGACTAAAGCAATAAATCAACTAAGCTATTTTACCAAAAGCTTATAAAGCACTTGTCCTTTTGATGACCCCAATGCATTAATGAAATTTCTAAATTATTATTAGTTTACGAGATGTCAACCAATGTTGATGAATATTTGGAGATTTCATATATATATATATATATATATATATATATATATATATATATATATATATATATATATATATAATAAGGCCGTAAGTAGGGAATGCAATCTCGCGAGATTTTAGCTTAGGCGAGATATCGCGAGATTGTAAAAGTCAATCTTGCGGTATCTCGCCAGTTTCGAGATCTCGCGAGATTGGCAAAATAATTTACAAATTGTCATAATATGATCAGGAGTTTTGAAAGAGAAATAAAAATTCAAAAGCAATGTATTTAATCATTTATTTGCACCGAGTAGTAACCTACATTATTTAACAAATAGCTCCGCTCTTCTTTTCTTTAGTCATTAAGGATTATAACAAATTTCAGAATTAGATTCGCTACCTAACATCTATTAAAATAAGTAATTATCAAAATTTTGGTAAAAACTTCTACCATTTATCAATTACAACAACTAATCAGACTTCCTTTTTTATAAATTTAAGAAACTAAAAACAAACAAAAAAATAAATGTGTAGTTTTTAAGTCAGTTAACATTTACAAAAATATTCATGAGTCTCCTGTTTTATAAATTTATCAAAATAAAATCTCGCGAGATCTCATTTGATTTGGAGCCGAGATCAATCTCGGTAAATATGGCCGAGATTTCGCAAATTTGAGATGTCGCGAGAACGAGATTGCATTTCCTAGCCGTAAGACATTGAGCCTCAATTAAGAATTAAATGGGACATCGAGGTGTTTTTCCAATTTTTTTATTTATTAATTGGCTTGTTTTAGCCAGAGAATATTTAGAGAGAAGAATAATTTTCTGCAAGGGTTCAGTGGAGCGCGCAAAGTCAAAAATAGACAGAAATTGCACTCTTAGGACGTTGATGCCGCAGTTCTATAAATTTATAGATTTTAAGACTGAGTACAAGTATTCGGACATTATGTAAGTATTATTTTTCACTTTTCACTCTATAGTACAGAACGTTTCCCTAAGCTGCAACAATCATATTTTTGACCTGGTTTTTTCCTTAAATTCTCGACTATTAATATAATTAAACTGCATTTTCAGGTGGGATGGGATATTACCTAAAATGACTGATGACTACCACAGAATTTACTTATTAAAAAATGTTGGAAAACGTTTTGATTACGATATAATGAGTTACTTTCGATTGACAATTGCGGTAAGAATTTTTGTATCTTCATTACAAACCTTAATGTTTTATTATTTTACGGATTTTATCGGTTCTATTTTAAATTGTTTGTTTCGAGTGCTTTGCACAACTATAATTGCCATTTTGACTATAACTTTCAATTTATATTATTAACATTGTTTTATTTAACGCAGAATGAACTGACTATTGCTGGTACTGACTTTACATAGTAGAGCCATGCTGCAGCTATATTACTCGTAGTAGTATAGTTTTAACACGAATGGGTCGGCTCGACCGAGGAAGGACCACACTCTCACAGAATACCATCGTAAAATACGAGTAGCAGTTTCTCTCTGCTGTGCTTCGTATGGTGAGTGTAAAGAACCGGAGACCCTTTTTACTGGAAAAGAGGCATTCCATCTTAGTCCTCACGGGTGACATCGCATCTGGATTTTGATTCGCAAGCGAGGATAAATGTAGATGTCTATGGGTCACAGCAACCACTTAACATCAGGTGGACTGTGTGCTCCTTTGTCACCCTATCCTATAAAAAAATTGCGTAAATATATAATATTATGCTATATTTTAAAATAGAATTACTGCCATATCTATTTATTATGCTGTTATTCTGTCACTGGTATTTGAAAAAAACAATATTAGCGCTAGAAGTTAACATTAGTTGTCCTCAATTCAAAATTAATTGTAGGTTTCAGTCAAATCTAGTTTGAAAGGAATGAAAATCTTAACTACTTCTACTCTGCACTTTTGTCTGCTTTTTTTCGAAACTGTTATATTATATACATATACACATACAAGAATTTCTCGCTTAATGTATAGGATATAACTCATTCACTACCTCATTAAAATTTATTAGAAAACTGATATTAAGCATTAAAATCATATGTAACCTCATTGTACGAACGTGTTTAATTATACACTATTTGTTTATTTTTAACGAAGTTTTTGAGCAGTAGAGAAACTGAATTACATTTTTGTTAACCAATGTTAAGCATGAACTTCTATTAATTTAGGGGAATTTGCTGAAAACATAATTCATGGCAGGTTAATTACGTTAGCACGACTAGACGAATAGACCTACCGCCGCTGTTTCCATCCCCGGTCTTGATCTGTTTGTGTTTTACTTAATCTTGGTCTTGGTTCTGTTTTCCATCCAAAACTTGAGACTAACGATAATGAAATTATAGTTATTACTTTAAAATTCCGTCCCATAATATTGCCTTTTATTCTAAATCCTTTGAAAAAATTAAAAAGCTTGTGATAGCTAACTTCTACAATCCTTAAATAGGAATATTAGTGATTTAGTTAATTACTTTATTTATTCTTTATTATTATATGGCATTAAGTCCAACGTTTGTATTATTTTGTTTTAAGAAATGCCCTTAAAACAAAATAATACAAAGGTCGGAATTAATGCCTTGAGGCATTGTCTACCAGTCAACCCATGGAGTGGTGAGAATCTGACGTAGGTGTGGCAATATAGAATAAAAGAAAATATTATCCTTATTAAAATATTTAATTATATATGATCAAAATATATAACAATATATTATATATATATATATATATATATATCTTTTTTTTTAATCAAAATTTATAATATATAACACTTCAAAATGGTTTTTTTACGTTAAGTTTTTTATATCACATACTTGTTTACTCATTTATACTCTTGTATATGTATTACTATATTTTTGTAACTGAATTGTTTTCATTTGTTATATTATGTATGTTTTTTTTTAAATATAATCTAATTAGGGCTTGTAATCGGAGCATGCACCGTCTATACTACCTTGATGCTCCGATCTGCAAGAAAACTGGTGATGCAATTGCAAAATTTCTCGGGAAGCCCATAGGAAGGCAGCTCCGAAAGAAGCGCTTTATGCCAAACCCGATCAAAGGCCTTCGCTATGTTCAAATTAACAGCCAACGCCTCCGCCTTGGACTCCACTGCCTCCGCTCATCTATGATTTAGGTAACCTAGAAAATCACCAGCTGAGCGACCTCGACAGAAACCGTACTGGCGATCACTAATCAGCTGGTGACCCTCAAGGTACCGCATAAGCTGGCTGTTAATAATGGTTTCCATTACTTTGGAGAACAAGGAGCTATTACCTCGATATGCCTGTAGTTGGACGGATCTGAGCGGTCGCCTTTTTTTGGGATCGGGTGCACCAAAGCTGTCTTCCATGAATTCCGGACTACGCCTAAGGAGTAGGAGTACCGGAAAAGACGCGTTAGGACCGGTGCCAACTCTGGAGCACACGTTTTCAGCACAATAGGTGGGACTCCATTAGGCCCACTCGACTTGTTGACGTCCAGGGAGAAGAGAGCTTTACGCACCGAGCGCTTTGTAAACAGCACTTCCCGCATGGAGCACTCACATCGCGGGATGGTCGGCGGTGTGTTCCCCCGTTATCTAGAGTCGAGTTGGAAGCAAAAAGAGAGCCTAGCAGTTTGGCTTTCTCCTTTGCGTCATAGGCCAGTGAGTCATCCACCCTGTGCAGAGATGGCAGAAATGGTTGACAGAAGTTCCCTTGGACAGCCTTGGCGAGAGACCAGAATGCACGTGTTCCCAAAGGGAGACGAACTAGTTTCTCGCCAATTCTGCCGATGTGCTCTGACTTTGCCTTGGCGATAACACTTTTGAAGGACCTGGAGGCAGAATTATACTTCTTTTTAAGAGTGCTGGTGTTTACTTTCCGGGACGTTGATGCATCAGCCTAGGCCCGGTAGCACTCCTGCTTATAGCGTGATGCTATTTTACAGGAGCGACCAAACCATGGCAGGAATCTGCCTCCGACGGGCACTACAAAGGATGGAATAAAAAGTTCCATACCCTAAAGTACCACATCAGCAACAAAATCGGCAACAATGCTGGGATCTTCCGGTAAAAAGCAAATCCATCCCCAATGGTAGGATGCAAAAAAAGACCGCATCCCGTCCCAATCGGCTGACCTATAGTGCCAAACATGGCGGCAAGCTGAAGATCGCAACTGCGATGGGAGCGTGAGTGGTACTGTACTCCGGATCAGACAATGGTCCGAAGAGGCCAGAGGAGCATCGACGGAGAGCTCATATCCATCTGGATGAGAGGTCAGAAGAAGGTCCAACAGGGAAGGTACATGATCCTCCACATCTGGGATCCGCGTAGTAACCAGTTGTGTTAGACCATGTGCCAAGGCAAACTCATTAACAGATCTACCCGTATGATCGGTTAAACGGGAACCATTCAGCGTGGTGGGCGTTAAAATTACCGAGTATCACGATCTCTGCGGATGGGACCTGTTGTAGCACGGAGTCTGCAGCCATTTGGACGTGGTCGATGAGTCGGTCTGTGTCGGCATTACCGCTATGGGACCTATAGAGGCACCCGTAGATGCGGGAATGGTCGTCGCTGTCTACGCGCAGCCATTGGCTGGACAGATCCCTACCTTCAAGACTGCCGAGGCGTCGAAAACAGATGTCCTCTCTGACGTATACGCAAACTCCATCCCGGGGCACAAAGGAGTGTTCTAATTTGTACCCCGGGTAGAAAAGATATGAAGTAGCTGGAGAGGATACCTGAGTCTCGATTAAAAAGAGCAAGACCGGCTTCGCTGTCTCTAGATGGTAATGGACAGCGTTAAGGTTGGAATGAAGTCCCCTGATGTTGCAAATATTGAATGTGAAAGGGGTCGCCTTGGTCGTATTGCTCCGCTTGCCCCGTGCAGTATTAGTAGCGAGCGGAATCCCCCCCCCCCCCCAGAATACGCGAGGCAGCCTGAGCACCCACGCTCAGGAGTGGAGTAGTTTGGTCGAGGATGCTCAGCGAGGGAATCTCCAGGGGTGCTGGTACCCTCCTGGGGTAGTCTTCTGTTCAATTCCGCTACCAAGCGGAACGCAGAGGTATATCTCTACTTCACGCTGGTATTCTGTGAGGTTGTGGTCCCACCCCGGTTAGAGCCGGCCCATCCGTGCGATAGCAAAAGCTGCCGCGTGGCTCTACCAATGTTTGTATTTTTTTAATCTTATTTATCGGTTTATAATAAAGTATATTATATCATTCATTCATTCATACTTTCATGTTTATGTGAAAGAAATCTAAAACAAAACGTAAGTATTTATTATACTACTTTAAAATACAATGCTGAGGACGTATTGTTTCTTTAAGCGTACTTCTATTAACATCCTCATTCTCCATCTTTATCAGCTTCTAAACTCTCAGGTGCTGAATATTTGCCTAGATTTACACCAACCCTACACTACAGTAGGATCAATGACCACTATCATTCTTGATGTTTGTCCACTTTATAGGTTTGATTATATAAATGTGACATGTTTTTGAGCTATACTGCAGAATTATTGTAGTAAAACCACAAATGGGTTGGCTCGACCGGGGAAAGATCACGCTCTCACAGTATACTAGCGTAAAATAGCAGGTTAATGCAGCATCATTAATACAGTCCACACTCACCATTCGATACATAGCAGTGTATCGAATAATGAGTGTAAAAAAACGGAGACTCTTTTTTATTGAGGGTAGATGTAGATGTCGATGGGCAACGGCAGCCACTTACTACTATCAGGACTGTGTGCAAGTTATCACCTTTGTTCTATAAAAATACTTACTAAAATTCCACCCCTAATGGTGAAACAATATTGGATGAAGTTTTAATCTAACTGTTTAAATGAAATTTCCTTTTTCCACTCAAAAGAGGTAAAATATTTTTTTTATGAAAATTTGCATTTCAATAAGCTGACTTTAAAAACCTAAAAATAGAAGAAGAATACATTTCACAATCACATACTGAAGTTGGTGCTAAGACATGGAGTATTAGAAGAATTACAATCCTGGCAGTGGCTGAAAATAACAGGCTACTACTTCTTATAAAAGATTATTTTTATCTATATTTGCAGATGGCAGAATACATCACAGCTCATGATTATAGCAGAGGAATGATAGTAGTTATTGACTATTTAGAGACGGATCTAGTAGAACTATTAAAGAAACTGGACTTTGTTGAAGTGCGCCAAGTTCTTACGTTATTAATTGTAAGTATATTATGGTCATATAATTTCTTCTTACTTTGTTATATTTCCTTAATACAATAGGTCACTAGTCTCTTTGCGGATAATCTTTTATCTATTGCTCCTTTGACGCTGCTGCCCCTGGTCAGTTTATTTTTTTATGTCCGGCGTAAATGAGATGGTATCCTGCCGTATCTTTTGGAATTCATAAGATTTTCTTATGTATCCTATTCCTCTTAAGATATCCATGAGACGAAATTGCACTTCATTCTATGCAAGGCCCAAATATTCTCCTTTAAGAGTTGCTTACTAAAAATCAGCCATAACTGTTTAGGTTTTTATGAAACATATTCTTTAGATGTTTAACACAAAGTGTTGGGCTATTTCCTGTGTGGTTTGATAAAATATCGTTCCCATGTTTTTCACGGAACTTTATAGAAACACATTCTAGTTTAGGCCTTAGACTTAGTGTAAACTAGTTTTTGTTTTTGTTAGTGAGACGTTAGAGTTTCTATAAAATTTCGAAATTTTCCTTCATTTTATGACATCTTTGCATTGATCTCTGATCGTTCAGCCTCATTTCTTTTTTTATTTTATTTATTGAAACATTGAAACCTATCAATGTTTCCTTACTTATTCTTGTATGCGCCTACTAATAACTATTTTGGTGAGTTTTATGAACGCACGTAAAGCTTCTGACAAGGAAATAATATTTGTTTCTTTGTTTTATTTGTGTCACAATGTAGTTTATCAGATTACGATTAAATTTTGGTAATTTATGCAGGTGCGCGCGAAGATTTCTGACAAAAACAGGTATTGCAACACCAGCTGACATATCTATAACGGTTTATACATAAAGTATATCACTGGTATCATTTTAATTTAATGTATTGTTTGACTACCTCGTTGGTCCAGTAAAGTGTCTAGAAAAGGTCTATGAACATATCGTGGCGAATGTGTATGTGCGAGAAATAAAAAAATATATTTCAAAGATATGTGAAGTTCATCAATACGCTTTGTGGCAGTACGACGGACATTCCAGTACCCAAAAACCTGCTCAGACACGAGAGGAGATCGTGTGCATGCATTGGATATATATATGCAATGTTGTGGTATATACATTCCACTGCTGGGACGTATATATGTTATAACTTTTACTTTAGACTTTAACATCCCCATAGATTTTTGTTGTGATGTGAATTACTAAGACACCGCATATTTTTAACAACCGTTTATTTATAACGTAAATTTAAAGTAGCGGATCGGAGCGCGAACGAGTGGCGGCATTACGACGCCGGACGGTCGGATCAACTGGCAAGGCGGAGAAAATCTAGCCGGTTGCTCCCACGAAGCCCAGAGCTTCCGAAGATCGCCGAACGGACGAACAGCCGCCACACATTTAAGACAGACGATTGAAGCGTCTTCTATCTGTAGTCTTATATATTTATACAATAACATGCATTATTAATTCCATTTATTCCGAATAATATGTCAGTTTTATAATGCTTCGTCCTTCATAATTAATGTTAGTTCTTTTGACCCAAAATAAATTAAAATATAAAACAAAAGTGCATCTACTAAATCTGAATAATAAGAAAAAGAGTGCAAGTAAATCCACAGCTTCTTTATGTGTTATTCACAGTGTTGTGGGTACAGAAATGGATTTTATGAAATTAATAACAATACTTGAATAATTTTAGATTGAATTGACATGGCTATGCTGCTGTGACGAACAAACTTATTATACATGATATTTTCAGGATGGTTACGGGATGAGAATAAAAGCTATGCATATATTAACTCCCTCAAAAGCCGTGGAAGCCGTAGTTACACTTTTAAAACAAATTCTCAGTGCAAAAGTGGGTCAACGCATTCAAATACACAAGGATTTGGAATCACTACACAAGGTTGTCCAGAAAGATGTGTTACCAGAAGAGCTAGGCGGAAATGAGAGACCTATTACTAAATTGCACAGTAAGTTTCATATATTTTTTTTTATAGGATAGGGTGACAAACGAGCACACAGTCCACCTGATAGTAAGTGGTTGCTGTGGCCCATAGACATCTACATTTATCTTCGATTGCGAATCAAAATGCAGATGCGTTGTCACCCGTGAGGACTAAGATGGAACGCCTCGTTTCCAGTAAAAAGGGTCTCCGGTTCTCTACACTTACCATACGAAACACAGCAGCGTTAAGCTGCTATTTTACGCTGGTATTCTGTGAGAGCGTGGTCCTTCCCCGGTCGAGCCGACCCATTCGTGCTACAACCATAATATAGCTGCAGCATGGCGTATATATAATACGTGGTAGAGCTGAGTAGAGTCCGGTTCCTTAGTGCTAGCCAGAAACAGCGATAATATCGCCATAAATTTACGGCATATAGCTTAAGATTATGCATGATATCTATTGTATAAAAAAATGTCGGATGTTATATATTCATAGAAAATTATTCCAATAACAAATTCATTTCAACGAGGCCATTTTTATTTATCGAAAAATAATGCCAATAACAAACTTCTGCTGTATTATAAGTTAGATGGTTTACTTTTAAATTTGTTTTTGAACGTAAGGTAGATGATAATTTAAAATGAATAATGGGGGCTTACCTTAATAATTAGTAATATTATTATTATATTCAAAAGAAAAAATGCGATGGGATTATAAGTTTTCACCGACTAAAAATATAAGTAATGCTCTGTAATGATTGCAGCATTACATTTTGTAGTCGGCGGCGTATAAACGGATTCCAAGCTACAATAGTGTCGTTCGACAAAACTGCCCACTATATGCTTTAAGCTTCCGACACACCGTCCGTGTTGATGTCTCAGGAACACGTCGTTTTAAGCGCTAGAACAAACTTGTGTTTCTAGCCGACTATATGTTAATCAATATCTCGGATAGGGGTTGACTAAAATTAATCTAATTCAATTTTAAGATGACACCGTTTAATCAGTAAAGGATAAGATTGAATATATTTGTAAAATATCGTTTGCCACTTCCGTATGTCTATTCTGTTATGGTGCGTTACCATTTTTTATAAGATAAGAGTGACAATTGACCATGCAGTCCACCTGATGGTAAGTGGTTGCTGCGGCCCATAGACATCTACATCAATCCTCTATTACAAATCAAAATGCAGATGCGTTGTCACCCGTGAGGACTAAGATAGAATGCCTCATATCCAGTAAAAAGGGTCTCCGTTTCTCTACACTCACCATACGAAACACAGCAGCGTTATGCTGCTATTTTACGCTGGTATTCTGTGAACACGTGGTCCTTCCCCGGTCGAGCCGACTCATTCGTGCTACAACTATACTACTAATATAGCTGCAGCATGGCTCTATCACCTTATGCAGGCTCATTTGAAAACAGTTTTCTACAAAATATCTAGATCAAATGTGTTCGCATTTTTTGGGTTTCCAATTTGAACATCCGGTTGACACTATCCACGATTTAAGCACATCTGGATCTTTTGAAAAGCTACAGTAAAAAAATGTATTATTCGAATATAAAATAAACTATAATGATATTCACACATACTCTTTTTATTTATGAAATCGAAACATAATCAGAATTCAGAAATAGATATAATCTGCTGACTATATTAAACAAGAACAGCAAGAAATTGTTTATTACGGATAAAATTTTAGCAACATTTTCCCAAGGTAAGAATTAATATAATTATGCAAAAACTCGTATCACCAAAAGATATAATGCTAAATTATGGACGGATTAACCTTAACAAGACTTTTGAATTTGGTTGGATAGTATACAAAAACTATAATTCTAATTTTGCAATTTGAGAATATAGATAAATAATGACGTAAATATAGCACTTATGTATGAAAGGTTATCTTTTCTTCTTTGCGCTCACTAAGGTTTTGCAGTCAATAATACTTCAATGAACTATGTTTATCACACGTAAGCACTTATTATTCAAGAGTTTTCTTACAGTTTTAATGACCTAATGACATTTTTACAAAAACCGAGGAACGTCACGACTTGTGCACAAAACAATGCCTAACAAACTTTAAGGTGATATACAGAAAGTGCGAAAGGAATTAATTCTGACTCCCTCACTCTTAGGATTTCGGATGCAAATATATCCCACTAACGCTTATAACTGATTTCTATAAGATGCATTTCGGTGAGTGTGCGCAGGAATTACACGCTTTTATTCCCCCCTCTCCTTTCCACCATCGGACAACCAGGCGATCGGCGGGTCTTCATACCTTTGTTGTCGATATTCCACGCATTAAAACCAGAAACTTTGCTTCGTCTTTTGTTATGCGTAGAGCAAAGGAGTGGAATAATTTGTCGGCGTCTACCTTTCCGTCCGAATACAATCTGGGCATCTTCAAGGCAAGAGTCAATAGGCTTTTGTTACGCTAAGACAGTGTGTTTTACCATCTAAGGCTGCATCACCAGTTACCACCAGATGGGAAATCACCAGCGCTGAGGCTGCATCACCACTTACCACCAGGTGGTCAAGCACTGGCTTATAATAAGTAAAAAATCATGTCTAGGTTATTCTATATATTTGAAGTAACAGGTAATAAACTATTTTTAATGTTCATAATATCTCATGCCAGCCTGTTTAGGAAGAAAAATTACATTAAACAAAATAATAAGTATTTGTCCTAACGGCAAAAAACTTTACTAATTTATATATTAGGATCTAACAAAAACATTAAATAAAGTTTAGAGGTATTTTAAAAGACTGCATTTACAAGCTCTCTTTAATCGTCTTAAAAAAAGGAGGAGGCACGAACTTTTTTCTAGGTAAATCACTTTGATGATTCTTTTTTAATTTGAAATTTGGTGCTTCTCATATCTCATGGTCCAACATAAATTTGATCAAGATCTGACTAGTACTTTTTGAGTTGTTTGTATGTTTTTTTTCTGAATAAATCAAGCTGAAAATACATGTTGAAAATACGAAGGCAAGGCAAATTAGGTGGCAAATATTTATCTATACCTCGAAATGATAATTTCAGATAATTTATTTCTTTTTAAATATTAGGACTGTTTTTATAATTATGCTCTTTCACTTTTGGGTTTGACAACTAAAAAGACAACGAATATTATAATATATTTCCAGGTATACTTTTGATTTTCATTCACTAATTATAGCATTGTATGAGAAAGCTATTATGGAAAATTAAAGTTCATACACAATTCGATGAAATTTTTAGCAAGCAATATTATGTTAACAAAGAATTTGCAATTAAGTATTAATCTTTATTTTACTTGGTATGAAACGCTATTCTGAGTATGTGGTTGTGATAAGGTTCTATGAGCACATTATTCCGCGGCATATACATACAAACGTGTGTATCGTTTGTTTTTGAGTGTTTACCGTTTTATTCAGTTTGCTATGAACTTTTCTTTATATTCAATAAAGCGTACGTTCCTATTTCCCTTATAATAACTTTCACGAACTTACGTTCGTAGTTGCATACATTTATGGATAATAATTATTCTCAACTACATGAATTTCATAGTACCACACAATATCTTGTTTTAGAGAGAGCCACATATTAGTACTATCGTAATAATACGATGATTAGTAAGATATCATCATCATTGATTGCCATTGCAATTCCCCTTTTGTTGCGGTTGTTCATGGGCGGCGGTAGTCACTTACGATCAGGTGAAACGCATGCTCGTTTGCCCCCTCTTCTATAAAAAGAATCATCATCATTAACATTACAGCCCTTCACAAGTCAACTGCTGAACATAGGCCTAGTTAGGTATATTAGGTAATAATATGATTTTATTAAATACGAAATATATATTGATAATAAAGATGCTTATGGATGCTTACTACGCAATCAATCCATCTATCCCCATAAATTGTCACTTACCTACATATTAGTGCCTAAGATAATGCCAAAAAATGTGTACAACAGTTTAATAGCGAATTACTGATCAAGCTAGTTATCAGTACCGAGCAGCTATCTGTGGCGGCGCTGTCGTCGCACCACAAGCGAAACATATCGAAGTCTAAATCACGCTAACAAAGTTCCAAAATTGAAGCAGCATATATAGAATAGCTCCGAACTACTAATCGGAGCGCTGGCCGCTCCCCGGGCAGAACACCTTGCCCGGCGGGAGATCTCCCCTTTTCCTTGCACCCGCTACAGTGGTGATCAACCGACGTGATATGAACACGCAACCAATAACCTTCGGAAAATACAACTTCAAAAACCTTTGTCATCTTTCTCAAGTACCCCATTCATTCGCTCCCGAGCAGATATTGTCTGCAGTCTTCCCATTCTTCAAGCCATCTAGCTTTACAAAGGTTCATCGCAGCACTGGAATAATAATGCTTCCTGTTCCTTCAAGCTTCTCTCTGCGCTAGTGTCTGGCACGGCTCTGAGCCTTACTGCTCGCCTCTGCTTCACGGCACTCTCGCAGATTACTTGCCTTCTTCTCGACTTACCGCAGACTACAAGGCAATCCCCTGGCACTTGCTCCGGCTCATCGTTCTCACCGGCATCACTTGCAAGTGCGTAGTACGGCAAGCATTACACACCGGCATATCGTTCGCACCGGCGTCACTTGCCTTTACGCACACATCATGCATTCCCCACCGGCATTAAGGACGCACCGGCAATCGGACTGCACTATCGACCTCCGGTCTGAGCAGGGGGGTGATGTGGTGGCGCTGTCGTCGCACCACAAGCGAAACATATCGAAGCCTAAATCACGCTAACAAAGTTCCAAAATTAAAGCAGCATATATAGAATAGCTCCGAACTACCAATAGAATTGGTTGTTTGTGTGTTTTATATGCGCAATAATAAACATATTATTTCTTACAGGAGAATGGGTGGATGTTTATAGCTCAAAGGAGTTTCAAGAATATTACAGTAAAATGAAAGCAGCTTCTACAAATGAAAAGTACAGACAGACTGATAAATTTAACGAAGAGTATATGGGAATAGCAGGCACATTTAAAACATTAAATGTAGATTAGTGGTTCTAAACAAGTTAAGTTAATACAGTAAGTTATTAGATATATAAGTTAATAGATAGTTTAAGTGTACCGCGTATGTATATGTATATTTTTATATGTAATTAAAATGTATTAGCCTAAGAATGATGTTTGATTTTGACACATTTACTCCATTCCTTCATTCAATGAAAACTTTAGGGGATCGCTATGAATCAATCTTGCAATTGTTTAATTTGTAGCTTTTTTGTATAGTCTATCTGTGCGCTTATTTCTACAGAAACTGTAACTGTAACCATCAAACAAACAACTAAAATTTATATTCATGGCGTGATTTTTATCATTTTTGTGTGTTTCTGCACAATATTATTCAAATTCTAGTAAAAAAAATTGTGAAAATTTATTTTTTAGTAGTCTCAATGTTGCTTGATCTATAAATGCTTTTATTAAATTAAAAAATTAAGTTTTTCTAAAAGCTTTTATATAATGGATTTCCGCAAAGTAACGCCTGATTCTATTAATTATATTAAAAAGGCTAGCACGGCCGACCAGGCAAGACTCTACGTCAAATTAACAAAATCTCCATCGTATTGCTGCCCAAAATGTTTGGTTCAATAAACAACTTCATGTTATTCCCAATTATATTCAAATACGTTCCGGCACAAATAGTCGAGCGGCCAGTATTGCTATTTCTAAAGTTTAGAACATTTGGCTTAATGAGGAGTGTCGTCGTTGGTTTTCCATTAGAGATAATTTAAAAATCCACCTTAAAGTATTATACTCTGAACTTTCATATAAATTACATAATATTGAATTTGATATTTTGGATGGGAAAGCCAGAGAACTTGCTTCAATGGCTGTTTATGAGAAATATCAAACTCAGTTCCGTAAATTACAACGACTTGTATCCTCTTCATCCCGTAATCGTAATAACGACATACAGAATATCACCAATTTTATCGCCGAGTTAAAAATCTTTCCGATGTCCGGTTTCCAACAGATGTGTTGTCCCTTTTACATAAAGGCCTTAAGTATAATTTAACACCTTCGGTCTCCCAAAAATCGTTAGAGACTATGGCCGTTGACGCAGATATGGCTGTTGTGATCGGAAAGAAATATAACATCGTTAAAAGTTTGGTAGCTAATGAAATTCGGGCTGTGCCCGCGTCTTCCCATTTCAATCCTGAGTTCCCTGTTTTTAAGTCCCTAAAGCAGAGAATAAGGGAAAACGACCTTATTGTTACTAAAGCCGATAAAGGCAATACTGTTGTTATTGTGGAGACTAGTGGGTACATCCAGAAAGTTAACGATGTTATCCAAGGTGATGACTTTGAGCTATTGGAGTCTGACCCAACCAAAAAGTTTACTTCGGATATTAAGTTATGTATACTACAGTCATCATACGTTTTTCCCGATCACAACTGGTCTCGGAGCAATCTTGTTCCAATGAATCCTCAAAAACCCATTTTATATGGGTTACCAAAAATACATAAAGAACATGTTCCTATTCGTCCAGTTGTCTCATAAATTGGTGCACCAGCTTATTTCCTTGCTAAAAAATTGAACTTACTCCTTCGAGAGAAATCTGGATTCAACCCCACTTACAGCCTAAAAAATGGCTTAGATCTCATTTCCAAAATTAAAGATATTCGTATTCCTGCTAAATCCATATTGTTATCTTTAGACGTTGATAGTCTTTTCACAAATGTCCCATCCCCTAACTGTTTGCGTATACTCGCAGATCTCCTTGAAAAACGTCGTCTACATCCCGGGGAAACAAATGATCTTCTTAACTTAACCTCTCTCTGTATGAAACAAAACTATATCCGGTTTAATTACCGTTTCTATCTACAAAAAGAATGGTTAGCTATGGGGTCCCCTCTAAGTCCCCTTATGGCGGACATTTTCATGGATAATTTCGAATTGTCAATCAAAATATCTTATATTAGTATCGATATGTAGACGACATAATTATTTGCTGGACTGGCACAAGGAGACAACTGGATGTTTTACTCAATAAAATAAATAGAGTCCATGACAAAATTAAATTTAAACTTGAATTGGAACAAGATTGTTCCCTTAATTTTCTCGATTTAACAATAACAAGAAAAGAATCGTCACATGTTTTCCAAATTTATCGAAAGCCAACTCACACCGACCCGGTCATCCCCGCGTCATCGTGTCATCCGTGGCAACATAAAGTAGCGGCTTTTTATTGTTACATTAACCGTTTGTTCACTGTCCCATTAAGTAAAGAAAATTATTTAAAAGAACTTAATATAATTTATCAAATAACTGTCTCTAACGGTTTTTCAAAAATCTCATTAACAATTTAATTAAAAAGAAACTAAAGCATGTTGTTCGTAACTCTCTGTACGCGGTTCAACCTCAAAGTGTTCATCGATATGTGAGCAGTTTGACCTTTTTAGGCCCCATATCTGAAAAAGTAGCTAATACTCTTCGACAAAACGGCGTTTATGTGGCGTTCAAAACAAACAATTCTCTTAGAAATATCTGTAATAATAAAGATAAGTTGGACATTCGTCAAAAGTCAGATGTTTACAAACTTGTTTGTGACGAATGCCACGCCTTTTACGTGGGTCAGACTGGTCGCAATTTCGTGACACGTTATAAAGAGCATTTAGCCGCGTACAGGAATTGCAATCCCGATAAATCCCATTTTGCTAAACATCTTTTGGACACTGGACACAACCTAGCCAACGACCACTCCTTTAAAGTCTGAGGTGCTCTTCGTACTAGGTAAGACACATCATTTTATTTTATAACGCGGATATTTGCGAAGTAAATTTTTCTAAAAGCTTTTATACAGGATTTCCGTAAAGTAACGCCTGATTCTATTAATTGCTTGATCTAGTCAAAATGTGATTACAATGGTAATTATGGTTCTTTTGCTGTCGACTTATATTATATTTACCAGAAATTTCTTATTAATACAGCACTAAAAATTTTGTTGGCCATTTTAAAAGGCCGACAAAGCACATGCAATTCCCATAGTGTTGCAGTTGTACATGGGCGGCAGTCGACACTTACGATCAAGTGAGCCGCATGCTCGTTTGTCACATATTTTATAAAAAAATCACTGAAATTAGGCAAAACATAATTATGAACGTTGCAACTTTTAAATTTCTTACGTGTCATTTTATTTTGAAAATGAGATTTGGAGATATTTGAAAAGCGATTTTAAATATCTGTCGTTTGCAAAAACTCCTATGTGAATATCTTATTGCATACGTCTCAATTCCAAAATATTTCAAGAGTCAGATTACATTTAATCCATCAGAATCTCCTACGTGCTTGATGCACACATGGAGGTTTAATAACAGTATTGTTTCAAAAACAAGTAATCTCCTATGTAATACTCGATGCTTTGTTCTGCCAAATTCTCACCTTTTTTAGAAAGAAAGTACAATCGTCATGCAAGCATTAAAATGAGATTTTTATGCTTGCATGACGATTCACACGTTACTTAACATCAGTGCAGCTACAATTTTTCGCGCGCTAACACGAACCTTTGGTTTTTTTCTATTATTCTATATTTGTTAAGTTGTGCAAACTTAATAAAAGACTGTGATAGTACAATATTAATTATATGTGAAATGGATAAAAGTATTTGTCTGGGATACAGAGGACACCAAAGGACAATGCTAGATCACGCCCCACCTTGTAGAAAAAAGTTAAATGTATGTATGAATGTTGTAATTTTTGTAATATATCATTATTTGGTGCCACTTGCGGAAAATTTTATATAAAAAAGAAATTCAACGGTATTTTTTTCATGTCCAGTATAATGATTTCTTATATTTACGCGAACACTACACATTGAATAAAACTATTTTTACGGATTTTATCGCGTTTAATTTACTTATTTTATATTCCCGACGTTTCGGTTGCTTTCCAGCAACCGTGGTCACGGGGGACTGAGGTGATTGACGTCCCGATGTCAAAGTTAACCCGGAGTACCTTCAGCTTTTTAATTATTAATTTTGGTCCGATCTACGCAGAATGAACTAACTGTGTCTTGAAGTCTTACAGTGGTATGCTTGGGTTTAGTTTTAATTTTATGAATTACAGGATCCCAAGCAGGTGGTAGTACCCAGCCTCCCTCTCTATTGAAATTAGGATGTTTTTTAATTTCAATAGCCTCACGTATCATCCTTGGCAGGAATCGATGTTCTTTCGCAAGGACTTGTGGTTTATCAAATCTAATGTAATGACGGGGGCCGTCTCGGATATGATCACAAACTGCAGACTTCCCGGAACGTTGGTGCTTCACGTCAGCTATGTGTTCTTTTACGCGGGTTTTTATTGATCGTTTTGTTTGCCCTATATATGAGAGACCACACTCACAATCAAGCTTGTATACTCCTGCATCTTGTAGAGGAATATTGCACTTGACGGATGGTAAGAACTGACTAATCTTCTTCGGCGGCTTGAAGAATGTTCTAATAGAAGCTCGCTTCAAGATGTAGCCAATCTTGTCTGTGACACCTCTGACATATGGTAGTACAGCAGGCACACGCTCGACTGTGGCCGGCTTCACTCGGTCACTGTGACGTAGGCGCGGAACCCGAAGCTTGTTGTCGTGCAGAACCTGCTTGACGTGCTGAAGCTCGGCGGCCAGGTGTTTGCTGTCACAGATCCCTCGTGCTCTCTGCAACAAAGATTTGCCCACGGTAGCTAACTGTGAAGGGTGATGGTGGGATTCACCGTTTAAGTATCGGTTTGTATGGGTCTTTTTTCTATACACAGTGTGACCTACGGTGTTATTAGGATTTCGAATGACTAACACATCTAGGAAAGCTAAAGAATTATTTGCCTCTAACTCCATAGTAAATTGAATTTTAGAGTTTATGGAATTAAGATGTTCTAAAAATGCAGTTACTTTGTCTGATGGTAAAATTGTGAAAGTATCGTCTACGTACCGCTTGTAGAAACTTGGAGTTACTGGTGCAGTAAGCAGGGCTTTCTCCTCAAAGTCCTCCATGAAAATATCGGCGACAATG